CTAAATTTCCTGTGTTAGTTCTCCCGATTAAGACATCTAAAAATGGGATTTTGTTATCTAATTCTTATACTCTTGTGAATTTAATGTCCTCAAATATGTTGTTTATTAATTTGTGGGTATATTCCAAATCATTTCCTTTAACTATTACAAATGTATCATCAAAGTAACGTACCCAGATTTTCGGTTTAAGACACTATAAATATATATTCTTTTATATAAATGCATGTAGATAATTATAGACACCAATTCGATTGGGATAATGTCGAAATTTTAAACAGAGGAAACACCAAAAATACTGCCAGGGAATTCCTAGAAGCCTGGTACTCAAGTGAATTAGCCTTCGATCAACAAACACATTATTATAGACCAAATTGATCAGTTAATAAAAAGTAAATCACATAACAAGAAATTTCGAATTCCAAGTCAATAAAAATATGATCAGTGGAGACGTAAATCAACAACTAGTGACTACAGTGGTTGCTAGGAGATACAATTACATCATACATGGAGAATTTAAATAAGTCCATTTTATACTAAAACCTGAGCTGAAGGAAGATGTTGTCTAGAAGGAGGACAATGAGAGCTTCGCGACTAAATCAACCAGCTCAGAGAACACAACTTATTCAAAGCGAAGTTTCTTGTAACTATAGAAGCAGTTTAGCTTTGTTATCAACCAGTATGTTTTAAATTTAATATCAATTCCATCTTATCCAGTTTAAATACTAGGCTTATATGTGTTGAGTGTACATGACAGCTTACTAAAGACTGTGCAAGGTAGCTGAGATGTACTAACTCACATCAGTCATGTTCAAGACTAACTAATGTAAAATACATGTCCTGATCCACAAAATATTGTAAACTATTAGTAATTCACTAGAATATATATAACTTTTCATTTTATCAGAGTTAAGTTTTCTATGGCTTTGTTGATATTAGGTGGTTGAAGGCAATCAGCAAGAAGCCTTGACCTAGGTTTCGTGCTAGTTGGCACTCACCAGTCAGTCAGCAAGGCGTATCTGCAACCTTGAAGGAACTCATGTCCCTTCTGAGATTCAAACCCATGTCGTCATCCAGTGGTGCAGTCAGAGACCTTACCATTGAGCTATTCGGGCTCGCCTCCAACCGTCTAATATCCTTTAATTCCTAAAGGAACACAGGGCTTCAGCCTAACGTTTCCAATGCACTCGGTTCTCTCCTAACATTTTCACCTAGCTCCACGTCTGCCAGATGCTTTCATCTCCTCTTCACAAGACCTCTTTCATGTCACCCTCGTACTTACGACCAACTCGACGCTCACCATTCGTGTTCCACTCGAGTGATGTCACTTGATGGTTTTCTTAGAGTATGGCCAATCCGCATCCAACCGTCTGATATCATCATGCATTTATTCCTCTTGATAAATTTGAATAAAGCAAGAACAAAAGTGGTTTGTGCAGAATAATATGGTACCATCATTTATTTCGTAGGCTTCTCATCAGCTGCTTACAGCCTAAATAAATTATGAGGTTTGCGTACAGAAAAGTTTTAACATAATTGCAAATTTTTACATGTTGCCAGTTGACAAAAAGTTCCACATTAAGTGAACAGTGCTCAGAAAATCGCGCTTATATAGTTTTTACACAGGCAGTTCAAGTTTAAACAAAATAGATGTATGCATACAATGGTAAAGGAGTTACGTAATAAAGACGAAATATGAGTTAGATACAGAGTGACTAATAAATTAGGTAACAATGTACTGAGTTCAACTCAAATCATAGAAACAAGAGACAAGCAAAATTACAGAATATAAAAGGGGGTGAGGTTAAAGACAAAGATTACGTAATCAGATGAGAGAATAAAGACATTCAGTTACCAGGGCAAAGAAAGATTAATAACTGCTTCTTTCTGAACACATAAATCTGGTTTCAAGCGTTTGATAGAGATTGCTTCGGCAAACTTGAGGAGAATGGAACTCCTTTGTCTATTGATAATTTTAAAGGATTTCTCGATTTCTACCTCATGACCCGTGTCGAGAAGATGTCTAGTGATAGCGCTGCTATAAGAGTTTGTTCCCTTGAAACGTAGGCTGTTTGGCACATGTTCAGAAAATCGGAGATGTGCCCTTCTTTCTGTTCTCCCAATGTAACTGCTCCCGCAGATACACGTAAATTTGTATACTCAGTTGGAGTTAACATGAGAAGGGTATCTATCGACTTTTGACTGCACCAAAGAGCATGTTGTTCGATGGACGGTATCTGATATCAACAATTCAAATAGCATATTGATGGAGAGCCAGCTAGAATGCTGGTTACATTAACTTGACTGAAAGAGTTCAGTCTGCACTAAACAAAGGACTTGACACACTACACTAGTCACTAACTAGTGTCCAATCAAAGTTTTTATAGCTTTCAAAACATTTTACAGCTGTTAATATATTGACGTGTCATCATTACGTAACATTCAACCAACTTTAATAAACTCGATTTACTCTAGTACCTGCTTAATCATGAGTTTATATATAATCTGTAAGCAATGATAACGACGCACAGATCAAAAGAGCTCATTTGCTTGGCAATACACTCAATGGAATCATATATATATATATTTAAATGGAAGAAAGTCCTGGGGTTATTTCAAAAAACAAAGTTTTTAATTTGTCCGGGTAATACAGCTCAGCTAAGTACATATTAACCAGCACCAAAGAAAGCGGAAAATGGCAGAACCCTAATTATCTTCATGTCAACTAGAAGTTTATTATTCTCTTGGGTTCCAAATGGAACATAAAGATTCAGAAGCTCATATCCTTTTCATCCTATTCCCTGTAGTCCTCTTCAGCTGATTCCACCGTTATTCATAGACTCTTATATCCTCCTTATACGGTCTCCTCCATTTCATCCTCGGACCTACGCCCAACTAGTTGTTTCCTATTCGGGTTCCTCTTGAACGTCTAGGATGTGAGACCATATGAAATGGGAATGAACTCTACAGACTGTTAACTAAAGAGTTAATAATCTACTCCGGTCACCCAGACGACAACTACGAGCTAGAATTTTACTTTGTTGATATTTCGCTAATTCTGTTCGACGCTAGGAAGTTGTACTGCAGAATAACTGTCTTTTGAAAATAATAAATGCAATATATGTATTTATTCTCTATTGAACTGAAGAGAATTTAGATTTATAGTGAAGATGAACTCAAAAGATAATTCATAAAATAATGGAAAGTTTGTTAAGGCTTTGAACATGTTCATGTACAGTTTGTCAGGGTATCTGTATGAAATATTATCGAGACGTTTAAGATTTCGACAAAACAATAGGAAGACATAATTTATCTATAACGTGTAATGTACTTATGCAACACATTTCGGATAGTGTGACCACACACACGCCTACTTATCATATATATATACATATATATATATATACAAGTAATGGTTTTTTGTAGGGATATTTGTTTGATTGGTTGGAGGATTTCATCATGAGCTGACATCAGTTAGAAAGCCATTGGAAATCCAGCCACAGGGAGTACTGGAAAGCCAGCTGTTCCGTCGGACTAGTTTGGGACTCTTCATCAGCCAGGGTTCGAACCCCCGACCTACTGGTCACAAGACGAGCTAACTCGTAGACCATTAAGCCACTGGGACCCTACCCAGTGGCCAATCCATGAATTCTAACTTCTGCCAATTCACGCACGACATAGAGCGACCAATTCGCAATATCTTCTTCAATGAGTTACTGCCTCACCTTCAACCTACGTTGACGCTAACAGTATAAAGGATCAAAATTTCATCAATGTAGGTCAAAATGTTTACACACTAACTTTACAGGTAATAGATAGGATAACAAGGTACAAAAAGAGAGGAGAGAAATATTATTAAGTAATATAAATACTGGTCTTAGCTCGATTACCAAGGCACGTCCGAAGTTATAAAAAATCACCTCTGAATACATAAAACATGTCTAAGCCATTTTATGGCTATGGTTTCAACGAAATTATGCATATATGACCCAAACATGCTTTATATACGGCTTGAAAGCACTACTGAAATCGACTTCACAACCTGTCTTTATGGTGTGCTTTGCGATAACTGACGCTGGACGTCGATTTCTGAGATTAAGTGAAATAGGTGATTTTATTTGTTTCTGCAGCTACTTAGGAATGTGTTCTGTCGCCTTGGCGTGTGCAGAGGTTGATGAGTCCTCCCTATGTACATGGGTGTGATATTAGTTAAAATGATAGGATACTGGGGAAAAGTATTCATAAGGCATTACTTAAAAGTTATTACCACTATTTAAAAATTTTTTATTCCTTTTCATTCTCAGTGGAACATAGGTCTTCAAAGCTTCAGCTTGGGATTATTAGCCCCATGCCCCCAACCTTCTCTCTTTACCAGGCTTACTATCGGCTAAGCAAGTTTTAGGAGTCGAACCCCAAACCACGTGAGTGGTTGGCAAGTGTTTCACTGATGAACCACCGACACAAACACACACACGCATGCACTGTACATCATAATTAAATGCCTATATCAATTTCCTTTCATCCAATACATATTTTTAGGTTAATGATAAAAGTTCATTCTAAGTTAAATAATAGAAACTTATATAACTTTTCTACAATTGGTTTGTTTTAAAAAGTTATTATTGATCGTTAATCAGTTTACATTTAGGATTATTATCTACACCTTATTTTTGATTGGTTAATTTCTCTAACCAGGCAGGAAATACAAATGTGGAAATGCACCATATTGACATATACATTCTAAAAGCAAAACAGGAAGGTGAACATTTGTGTCTATACAACAAAAACAAACACCAAGCACTTATCAACCAATTAAAATAATACTTCTATTGACTTAAAATTTCAATGGACCAGTGAAAAGATGTGGGCATCATAATAAAATCAATCAGTCAGTTGGCTAGAAGATCTCTTCCTGTTTTTCATTTATTTGTTGTGCAGTTTCAAGATTTCATACTTATTTCACTGTTTGCATTTATTTCTAATTTCTTATTCATACGCAAACCATGGTAAGTTGAGAATTTCATAACAGTGAATTAATGAATGTTTTTTTGTTTTAAATTTTTCACTTACCTAGAGGATTTTATATTTCTTTCTTTTATTAATTCTATTTTCAGAGTACTTTATCCAAAGCTGAAATAGAAGGTGAGTTGAACTACTTTGTCACAAAACTTATTTATGCACTTTTATTACATACATACTGATATTGAAGATGCATTGAACGCATGCAATATTGAACTGATTTTGTTTTTGTTTTGTCTTTTTTTTTTCAACACCTCTAGATATCCGTGAAGTTTTCGACTTGTTCGATTTTTGGGATGGTCGAGATGGTATGATTGATGCAGTGAAAGTTGGCGATTTACTTCGATGCAGTGGAATCAATCCAACAATTGCTTTAACAGTGAAACATGGTGCTACCTTGAAACAAGGTTAGACATTAATTTATACATATATACATATATATATTCTTGATAGTTCGCTTAATTCCCCAGAAATTATTGATCATGTTATCCTTGGTGTGTGCATTTTCCATGTGATCATAATGGTCTTTTGAATGAATAGGGTTTTATGAAAGTCCCACTTATAAAACCAATACTAGGAGTCTGGAAGTCGCTTTTCCGAAATTTACTCATCCATGAAACTATACTGACTTACTAGACAGCCAGACCGAAGTCATCTAAACACTGGTTGGCCGTCTCAACTCTACACAGTCAGGCTAATCAGCAGTATACCCGATCTGACTGAGATGAGACAGCCGAATTAGTACAAACCACCCGAATTCCGGCTAGTTGCTCAGGCGATCTCTTAACACCCGGTGGGTGCGTACTGATGAAGAGTCCCAAACTAGGACGAAACAGCTGTCTAGTACTCCCAGGTTTTCCAGTGGTTCTCTAACTGATGTCAGCTCATGATGAAATCCTCCATGCCATCAAAAAAAAATCCCTACAAAACCAATACTTGAAAATAAATGAAATCGCCAGTTTGAAAATTAATTTGTGATTTAAACAGTTAGAGGAGGTGAAATTTCACCATAGTTTTCTTTGAAAACTGAAATTATCCCTATGACAACGTGAGATCTGCTTGATACTAATATAAATGGTAATCAAGAAAACAAGCATAATTGCATGATACCATTTATATACTACTCACTGACCAATATGAGTAGTAGCTGGATGCCACTGACATTAGTCAGTAGTGCTTTTATAAGAAGAACCTTGAAACTGAAGGCAGTGAAGTAGAACTTATTAGTCATTGATAAGATAGGGTACTCAACCAGCTTATGAGTCAGTTAGTTGCGACCTTTTTACACAGATCAAGCAGGCTATGAGCTACTCTACAACTGAGGTTTACTCATTACTGTTTACTGTTTATGGTTATATATCACATAGTAAGAAGAAGCATGTCATCGTTTTCTATCTATTGTTTTGAATAGATTTCTGATGTAGAAAAGTGTTTAAACTTGATGACTAATTACCCAGAGTGAATTGACCATTCAAGACTATTTATATAATATAAAGTTTGTTCCTTGTAAGTAAATTATAGGTTAAGCGTTAGTGTAGATTTTCAATATGTCTCTTTTAGATTTGGTTTCTGACAAAAAGAAAGGTTCATATAGATGTATCAAAATGAACAATAATGATGGAGGATACAGAAATATCATTGTAATAATAGCCACTGGTGTATCTGTGATAGGAATAAAGTTGTATTGACTTTTCATTCTGTCATATGACCTATTTAGTCGGTATTCAATTACACAAACTTATAATCCGTTTCATATTACTTAAATAAAAGTATCATGGATCCATAAGAAGGAGATTTTAATCTTCATTATCAGAGTAGTCATTCTTGTGTAATCAATATCTTTTTGTGATTCCAATAACTTAGACTATTGCCAATGTTTTAGTAATAAAATCAGCAGTAGACATTTGGAGATATAGCCGTGAAGACACCATGTACTTGTTAACTAGCCTTCTGTCGTTTTCCTTAACGAAGATTATTTGTCTATTTTATTCTAAAATGCTAAAAGGAATGTACTTGAAAGTGTAAATGAAAAGATTAAAAGCGAGGTGTGTGTCTGGATTTAGTGACAGGATGGTCGCCAACTACACATGTAGTCTGGCCGGTACACTCGTAATCCTCACTTGCTTCGTAGTAAGCCCAGTAAAGAGGGTAGGTTTGCCATGAAGCTAGCAACTACGAAGCTTAAAAATCATCACCGCTACTGAAACTGCAAAGCTCCTCTCGGAAGGCAAGGGAGTGAAAGAAAACGAGGTGTGACGTTTTATCACAAACGTACATTTTAGTTGCTATTGTCAAATATACCATTGTACTTGTTTTGTTTTTTTCTAAAACAATTTTTATAGGAGAGAAACAATACAAATTCGATGAATTCCTTCCTTGCTATGAAGCTATTCTTAAAGAGAAAGAAACCGGCACATATGCTGATTATATGGAAGCCTTTAAAACATTTGATCGTGAAGGTCAAGGATTTATTTCAGCTGCAGAAATGCGACATGTTTTAACAGGTTATGGTTAGTTTTGTTTATTTTGTAAATTATACAAAAACAAATTAATTAATTAATTTATGTGAATAGGTGAACGTCTTGAAGATGAACAAGTAGACTTGATAGTGAAATTGATTGATTTACGTGAAGATCTTGATGGAAATATCAAATATGAAGGTTAGTACTCTTTGAGTTATTATTATTTTATTATTACTTTCAAATTTCTGATTCTGTTCGTCTGTGTTCTAAATAATCTAACTTTAGTCAGACGGTTGGAGAGGGGCAATTGACTGGAAGTCATGGGCCTAGGTTTTGTGATTTTTAACACTCGCCGGCAAGGACGTGTCTACAACGGGTCCCAGTGGCTCAATGGTCTACGAGCTCACCTTGTAACCAGAAGGTCCTGGGCTCGAACCTTGCCGGTGAGTGCATACTGATGAAGAGTCCAAACTAGGACGAAACGGCTGTCCAGTACTCCCAGGTTTTCCAGTGGTTCTCTAACTGATGTCAGCTCATGATGAAATCCTCCATGCAATCAAACTTTGAAGGAATTAACATCTCCTTTGGGATTCAGACTTGCATCATCCACTGCTTCAGACAGAGACCTTAAGCCCCCCCCCTCATCTGTTTAGGCTCACAATTATGGCCTTTCTGTTGTTACAAGTTTGGTTTCACAGTAGATATATACTTAGCGAGATACACTATTCTGCGAAGAAAATAACCTGAAGGTGTCTGTTACGTTGAGGAAGCAGTTCAGTACCAACCAATTTATACTGGTTAGTTTCCCTAGATTTCAAATGTCCGTATAACTTTCTAATAGTCAAATGGAAGCTTTGCCTTCAAAACGACCAAAAGACAGATCATTAAGATTAAGAAAGGAATTGTAGTAAACCGGAGTAAGGGAGGAAACTATCTGCTTGAGCATATTTTAAATTTTTCCGCATATCTTTTGTCAGCTAATAAGTTGACACATATTTTTCTGCAAAATACTTTAAATTCAAATTGTTTCTTCATTGTTTCAATTGCAGAATTAATCAAGAAAGTTTTGGCGGGTCATTCCAAATAAAGTGTTGAAAGAAGCCCCCTATTGTTCCTGAAAAGAAAAGAAAAAAAAGAGAGAAAAATGTTTATTTACAGCTCACTCCATCTAATTTTTCTTCAAATAAACAAACAGACAATCAACTGTTAACTCGGTAAATGAGCTAACTACTACTAACTGTGTTGGCCTCTCTTTCTCTCTCATATAATTTCGCCTATCATCAAGTTTAGTTTTAAAGTTTCAGTTATTAAGCATTATTGGTAGATAAAAGTGATGTATGATTTCTTTTCGCTCCCTTTTTTTCTTTTTCTTTTCTTCTTCTTCAAAACCCAATAATATTCCCGCCAACTTTCTTATGCATGAAATCCACAATGATTGTGTGTATTGTATAATTATGTTATGAGTATTCAAGACTTTCTGCATAAATGTTAAGCATTATTATATCCTTTTCCTACATCTAATGTCTTCTACCCTCCTCCTTTTCTGTCTTATCTTTTGACAAATACATTAGATTTATAAATGTCTTATCTAACATCTGCAAAAAAAAGAAAATACATTCAGCTTTTTTTATGATGAACCTTTAAATAAAATAACGAACCGAATAAACTGTTTACCCTTTAAAGTGTTTAGTATATCTTTTGAAATGAACTGATTATGTGTTAATGGTTGGGAGAAGGGGAAGCTGGAAGGAATCCTTGAACCTAGGTTTCGTGCTCGTTAGCAGTCATCGTCAAGGGTGTGTCTGTAACCTAGAAGGAACTCACGTCTCTTTTTGGGGTGTTAGGCCCGCATCACCTAGTGTTTCAGTTAGAGACTCTATCGCTGAACTATTTAGGCTCGTGATTGACTTCTTGTAGGACTGTAACGTATCCACTGATTGGTTGCTAGTAAACAGTGTTATGCGTCTAGTCCTTGTTGTTGATGTAGGTTGAATTTTATTATTCAGGTTTGCTATGTGGTCACCTAGGTCACCATCACGAGCCACTCTAGACTGGTGTCAGGAAATCATGGGGTACGTCTACGCTGAAACTATTCAGAATATTATTCGACAGAGAATTAATACCTGGTGGAACCATTTCGAATTCAGAAAAGTTTTTCAATTTGAAATGTTCCCTAGTGATAAGGTTACAAAGATATTTTAATGAAAAAACATTCATGAAGTTTTCAACAGTTGGTTTGTAAGGATTAGATTTGTTTCGATGAGTTGATGATTGAAAACAAGCAGGGAGTACTGGACAGCTGTTTCATCCTGCTGATGATTCCCAAACTAGGATGAAACAGCTGTCCAGTAGTACTCCCTGGTATTCATGAAGTTACTCAGAACTGTGGTAGTATTCGACTTCATTCTGTAGAAAAATGTAATGATCCATCATAGTGTGTTATCAATCGACCTAAATTTTGAAGTTCAGTAACAATAACAAACTACATAGGTAGTCAGACGATCTACACAGCATTTGTTGTCAACGTGATTATTTTTTAATGGTATTTGTAAGAATTGAAAATATAATTACTGAATTCAGTGGTTTAGTATGCCATTAAAACAATTTTCCATTGCGAAAGTTCCTGAGGAAAGAATCTCTTCATTCACTACGTGCTGATATTGATGGCGAAAGGTTAAAAAAGGGGATATTTTTCAATTCTGAAAAGATGGAGGTTAGTTACTGATATCAGAAAGTCACAATTAACAAAAAGGTCAACTCAAAGTTTTCAGTAAATGGAGTAAAACCACGTAAAGAAAGCCTTTTACGGTCAATGAGTCTGTGAGGTTGACTTAAGGATATTTTTTTAGGGAAAAACAGTTACGTAGGGCACTGAAATGCTCAACTCATAGAATACTGAGGAGTCAAAATGTGGGTGATTTTTGATTATTCTGTGTAGAGCAATTGAGGAACTTCGATTATATTCATAAAAGTCACCTTACATAGTAGCTGACAGTAATGCAATTCAAAACACAATTCTTATTCAGTTATTTCCCCTTATTTGATGCTTGGTATGGCAATACCTAATGGAATAAATCATTTATTACAGAATGTGGTAAATGCCTAACTGCTATTCAGTTGTATCTGTGAATTCTGTTCCACTCTGTGTAACTATAAAACAGTTTGTACTTCCTCTGTCAGATTTTATTTGATTTCGGTTAGGCTACTTTTATTTATGCATCGATACAATTCGTGTTTCGTTACATTGCTGAGCTACAAGATATATCACTAACGCTGTAAACAATGAGACAACAAGCAATGGTTTGTAGGGACTTGACTGATTATTTACAGGATTTCATCATTAGCTGGCATCGTTCAGTGAGCCATTGGAAAACCTCGGAGTACTCGACAGCCGTTTCGTCCTAGTTTAGGACTCTTCAATGGTGCGCACCACCGGGTTTCGAATTCTGTAACCAATCAGTCAAATTCCTACAAACCAATACTTGAATATCAATCAGATGCTCGCTAGCGATTGACCCTATTCAGATAGATAGTTACCTGGAGTTCTAGTGGGAAGTCGTGACCAGCAGGGAACAGCAAGTCAGGCGTGAGGACAAATACTCGCCGAAGACATTGGCTAGTGGCCGTGCCATGTCGTAAATTGGGAGAAGTTAGAATTCATATAACTGGCCATTGGATCGGGTCCCAGTGACTTAATGGTCTAAGAGCTAGCTCGCCTTGTAACCAGTAGGTCGTGGGTTCAAACCCTGGCGGTGGGTGTGTACTGATGAAGAGTCCCAAACTAGTCTGATGGAACAGCTGGCTGTCCAGTACTGTGGCTGGTTTTTCAATGGTTCCCTAACCAATGTCAGTTCACGATGAAATTCTGTAACCATTGGGATAACAGTCTGACATTCTATGAGGAATAAATAAGTTAACCTATGTAAAGTGGTTTGGCTGTAGATTGCATTACTACGTAATGGATCTAAAATGGTACATTCAGACTGACTTTACATGTTTTAATAACCGCTTAGTAATACCCCTAATTCATACTCATTGATAAAAACATTCAAAAGGATGGGCTTAGCGTCAGACGAGAGAAACGATCGTCCCGTATGTAGATCACTTCAAGTACTAGTGGTTGATGTGACTAGTCTCCGCCTACTCATTTTAATCAATCAGTAGTATATGGCATCACGCATTTATTCTTGCTTTCTTTATTTCCACTTATGATAGTATCAGGCAGATCACACGTTGTCGTAGGGATAATGTCAGTTTTCAAAGAAAACTGTGGTGAAATTTCCCCTCCTCGAACTGTATAAATATTAAATGTCTTCTTAGTTTACCAACTGCACAATTAGCCAGCCAGAATTCGGGTGTTTTTAAACTAGTTTGGCTCTCTAAGTTGAGTCAAATTGGGTACAGTCCTCATAGGATCTGCTTGATTATAGTGGAACGACTGTCCAGTGTTTAAATGACTTCGATATGACTGGCCAGTGAGCACTACTGTTTGATGTCAATGGTACTCATATCACATAACTTCACGCAGAATTACTCGAATTCACATACTAAGCATGAGTGACTTTTCTCAAGCTCTACTAGAAATGGTATTACCACTTTCTTCTATGATACAGTGCCTTATCTCTTATAATGTAAAGACAATTAGAGAATATGTGGTCTATTAGATAAATTATTATTATTTTTTATGTTCCTTCACGTTCCAAGTGGGACATAGGGCTACAAGCTTCAACCTTGAAGCTTCTGTAGCAGTGTTTATTTTTACAGAATGGGGTTGCTAGCCTCATGCCCAACCTTTCCTTTCTACCAGCTTTATTACTGGCTTAGCGAGGTAAAGGAGTGCGTCTGTAGCCGGGGATCGAACCCCTGACCATGCTCATGGTCGGCGAGCGTCCTAACGCTATGCCACCGACGCACAAATGAGTCATCATTACTGACTGTGTAATCGCCTGAAATATAAGTTGTTTGTCTTCGTGTTATTTTCAGTCCTGCAGATAAACAGACTGCAAAGAGCAACACAGCATTATTGATCGATACATATTGAAAGATACATTGGCATCAGTTTTGAAATACTGCGGAATATCTGCAAATCTCTAAGCAGCTGACTTTCGGAAATTTTTCTCTAATCTGCTTTTATCGATGCAACGGCTTTCAGTAATATTTCAATTATGAAATTCAACACGAACCGTTAAGGAATTTAGGTTGGTGGACTGTTTCACATGCAAACTTTCTTTCAACTTGTTTCTGTGACATGTAGTTTGGGATTCAGTTTGTGATCGAATCTGTCAACAGTCAAATCTCTGCAAACCAATTCTTGAAAATTAATGGGATGTTCACTAGTAACTGTGGTCTTTACAGGAGGTTACCTGGATTTCCAGTGAGAAATCGTAACCAGCTGAGTCCACAAGTCAGGTAGGCGAACGGTTATTCACCGATGACACCGGCTGGAGGATGCATTATACATATCTCGAATTGGCAGAAGCTGAAATTCATGGGCAACTGTATTGGGTTCCACTGGGTGAACGGTCGACGAGATTACTTTGTAACCGAAAGGTTCTAGGTTCAAACCCTGGTGAGTGCATACCTTGAGTAGTCATAAACTAGGACGAAACATCTGTCTAGTACTCTCTTGTTTTCCAGTGGTTCTTTGGCCGTTGTCAGCTTGTGGTCAAACCTGTAAACAGCCTAAGTAGTTAGGCTTAATGCCACAATCTGATTGCTGTAAAGCCTACAGGCTTTGAGTTTTAATTCCAGTGAACTTATGATTGTCACTCATCTAAAATTTGAGCAACTACACTTCTTACAGTCGTCAGGTGAACAATTTGCGTCAACACTCTTTTATAAAAGAACGTTGTGTCATAAAGGACATATGAAGGTAATTAGCTATCACTACTATTTCTTTCATTCCACGCGTTTCGATCGTAACATAGGGCTTCAAACTTTGAGGTCTCAGCAGCTGTGGTTCTGTTTTTAGTAGGTGGGTGTGCTGCTAGCCTTACTCCCTTACCTTCTCTCATTTCCAGGCGAGGTTTAAGGGTGCGTCGGCCGAAAATCGTACCTAGATCTCCTACGTGGCTGATGAGCAGTTTACCGTTAAACCACCGATGCACATCAGAACTATGGTTAAGTATTTCACTTTTTCACCCACATGAACGAAATATACTCATACTGTGTCAATAAATTCAGTCAAGTGATATAACACGAATAAAAACAAAAAACAGTCTTTACACCATTGATATAATATCTCTTTGACGTTTAAGTGATTGAGTGAAAATAGGATTTTTTTTAAATAAAGGCATTTATTTCAATGTCGAAGCCTCACCGATAGCAAATATCGAACCGTAGGGAAGTTTTTGACGAACTAAATTAAATTTTGACTATTACACTGTTATAAAAAGTTATCATATAAGAGGTACCTTTCATCCCACTGAACGAAGAGGGGATACTGGCTGGATGAAGCCTATACACAGTTATACACTCAGTGATTTTTTGTAGGCTCAATTTAATGACCTTCAGTATATCACAGTGTTCGGTGGCTTAGTGGTGGAACGCTGGCCAACTGCATACGTGGTCCGGGGTTCAATCCTTGGCTGATGCATACCTTTACCTCGCTTAGACGGTAGTTAGCCCGGTAAAGAGAGAAGGTAGGGCGTGAGGTTAGTAACCTAATGCCTTAAAATCTAAA